GAAATGGAGCGAAAATCGAGTCTGTCAGCGGGACGGCTGCTGCCACTTGCTCCGGGAGCACGTCTCCTTGGTTTCTCTTTGCAGGATGGACAGGCCCGGCTCTCGGGTATCACGGATGGAAGCTGAGCACGGCCCGAGGAATTGCTGCATCCCCCTTCATCAGGGAAAGAGACAGTGGACCCCTCTTCTGTTGCATCTGTGTTGAGGAAAGAGGCAGCGGGCACGCCCAGAGTTGGGGCACTTTCCAGACTGCACCGTCACGGCCGAGAACGGCTGTTATCGGCTCTGGCCAGAGCCGTGCCCGCGGCTGGCCTTCAGAGGCGCCCGAGGCAGCATCTGCTGAGTCGTGTACCACAGGACTGCTCACTGTTGCAAGAGAAGACAGAGAGGACAGAGAGCGAGTGAGAGCGAGTGAGCGCGCACACCCTCAGAGTCCAGGGGACCCTGCTGTGGAAGGGGGACAGCAGGCAGCCAGGCACACCACCGACACGCGCCCCCCCCATCTCCCACCACGGTTCCCTCACATGCGGTGTCGGGGACTACTTGACCCGACTTCTATGCAGCCTGTGCCCTGTACCCCTGCTCACCATTCTGAGCCAACCCGGGACACCCGGAATCTTCCAGCTACCAGAACATCCCTGTGTGGGTCTGTATTTAAGGGGTGCTGGTGTACAAAGGTGCTTTCTCTCTTTCTCTCTCTGTCTCTGTGTTGGGGAGGAAATAGAGGCAGCCTATGTCTTGTTTTTCTTCAAAATGCCTACTGCAGGGGTCAGCTGGTGGAACTGGGGGAGTCAAGAGGGAAATGACATAGTTGGGGCTGAAGGAAATGACATATTAGGGCCTGACGGCACCCGGAGGCAGTGGAGGAGGAGAGTTGGGCCGAGGGGCCGGGGCGGGAGCGGTGCTCTCTCATGGGGCACTTGCAAGCCCAACTCCGAACGCCGAGTCACCAGGTCAGCACATGTCTCTTTGCCACGCGCTCCCCTAGGTGCCCTCGGGGACAGGGCCCGCTGCGTCCGGAGGGGCAGGAGGGCTGGTGGGTGCCAGGGCCTGGGCCTGCGGCGTGCCAGTTGCACACTTTCTCAGGAGACGTGAGGAGGATGTTAAGCAGGCTGTGACAGGCGTTCGATGATGCATCTCTCTCAGCACCCGGGCCGCCTGGCCACGCGTGTGTGCGGCCCACACCCCGGTGAACGGGATGTCACCCGTGTTTCTGGAGCCAGTCCTGACGCCTTCTGGTCACTAACTGTCCCTTCCCCCTCACTCAGGACCCCCCTCACTCAGAATCACCTTGTCCTGACTTCTCACAGCATGGATTAGTTTAACCTGCTTATGTGTTTAATATAAATAACACCATCAGGCTCTCCCTGGAGTGTGGCTTTTTTTACTCAGGCTTATGTTTGTAGCTTGTTCTCATTGCTGTGTAACAGTGTAACAGTGTAACATTCCTGTCTGTGTGTGTGTGTGTTTGTGTGTGTGTAATTCTTTTTTCATGTTTACTTTTGAGAGAAAAAGACAGAGTGAGAGCAGGGGAGGGGCAGAGAGGGAGGGAGACACAGAATCCGATGCAGCTCCAGGCTCTGAGCTGTCAGCACAGAGCCCAATGTGGGGCTCGAACCCACAACCTGTGAGATCATGAGCTGAAGTCAGACGCTTAACCTACCGAGCCACCCAGGCGCCCCTGCATGTGTCCCTTCTACTGTTGACGGACACTTGTGCAGTGTGAGGTTTGGGGTTGTTATGAATAGTGCTGCCAGCAACATCCAAAGGCATATCTTTCTTTCTCTTTCTTTTCTTTTCTTTTATTTTTTTTTTAAAGTTTACTTAGAGCGAAAGAGAGTGAAAGCAGGGGAAGGACAGAGAGAGAGGGAGAGAGAGAATCTCAAGGAGGCTCCGTGCCGTCAGTGCAGAGCCTATGAGGGGCTCAGTCTCACCAACCACGAGATCATGACCTGAGCTGAATCAAAGAGACGGACGCTTGATGGCCGAGCCACCCAGGCGCCCCCAAGACATTTCTGTGAGTTTACACGTGGGTGCAGAGCTGCTGGGCCACAGGACATACATCCGTTCAGTTTCCGCGGATACTTCCAAACCAGTGTCCCAGATCATCCATCCAGCGCCGCGTGAGAAGCCAGCGTGTTGACCAACTCTTATCTTTTGGCCCGTTGGTTACAGCAGAAGCAAACGCCTTGAAAGGAATCATGTAGCGGAGGAAGTGAAAATGCTCCACAAACAGGGAGACGTTACTATTGGGTGATGTGACAGGGTCCGCTGTGCCGGGCCCCGAGTTCTTGCGGGTGAAGCCCGTGGCGGGGCGGGGCTGCCCCTCCTCCGGGAGGGTCCGCAGCTTGGCTGCAGTGAAACCCAGCAGACCATGTGATAATGCTTCCGCAGGTGACAGAGCTTTAATGTGCCTGTCCCCAACGAAACTCACTTGGCTCCAGCCTTGCCCGTGGGCCTCTGTAAATATTTAACAGACTGTGTGTGTCCCTCGCCCTCTCCCCTGCCATTGACTGGGGCTGATACCGCAAGTCACTGCCCCTCCCGCTGGAAGCAGCCTCTCTCAGCCCGCAGGACCCCGGCCCTGTCATTCTGGTGCCCCACCGCTGCTGGCTGCTCCTCGGGCCGGCAGCTCTCGATGGTATCTGTGGGAGCTGAGGAGCGGAGGTGAGGAGACCCAGGACAGGCTGCGTTCCACTCACAGGAGGCCTCATCCATTTGCAAAACAAAATAATGACTAATTGAGCACTTAATATGTACCCAGCAACATGCCAAGTGCTTTATGGTGATTCTTTCTTTCCCTTTCTTTTTTCCTTCCTTCCTTCCTTCCTTCCTTCCTTCCTTCCTTCCTTCCTTCCTTCCTTCCTTCCTTTTTTCTCTTTCTTTCTTTCTTTCTTTCTTTCTTTTTTCTTTCTTTTTATTTTGAGGGAGAGAGAGAGAAAACAAGTGGGGGAGGGGCGGGGGGGCACAGAGGATCCAAGGGGGGCTCTGTGCTGACAGCAGTGAGTTGTGATTTGTCCCCGTTTTACAGGTGAGGAAACTAAGGCTGAAAACCATTTTCCCCAAGTAACATAGCTAGTAAATTTATTAGTTTAACTTTAAATATCTTAACCACTATCCTGAATTTCTCTCTTAGGGGCTCATATTTAGTTACTCAAAATCCCTTTAGAACCTGTCTTTCTCTTGGGTGTAAATACTGTGTCAGGGAAACACTGTGTCAGGTGGGTTTGAATGGGACAAGAGGAGCTCACCCTGTGACCCCTGGTCACCGAAGAATGCTTAAAACAGAGGACGGAGCCCCGATGGCACGGTCGCTGTGAATCATAGTCCCCCAAAAGATGTCTGTGCCCTGGTCCCAAGGACTTGTGAGGATGTTTCCTTACACGTGAAGACAGACCTTGTAGATAGGCCTGAAGTTCTGGACTGTGAGCTGGACGATGATCTCGGGTCATCTGGATGGGCCCCGTATCATCACAGGGGTCCTTGAGAGTGGAATGAGGAGGCTGACGGGTTGGAGAAGGGGGTATACAGGTGGGTCCAGGGTCCGAGAGATGCTGTGGTGCTGTAGTGAAGATGGAGGAAGGGAGCCCTCAGCCAAGGCATCCGAGAGCCGCCTCTGGAAGCTAGAAAACGCCAAGGAAAATGATTTTTCTAGAGCGTCCACCAGAAAAAACCCTGGTAACACCTTGATTTTAGCTTGGTGACCCCGTGTTAGACCTCTGACCTCCAGAACCCTAAGATCATGAATTTGTGTTGTTTTATGCAACCACATATTTGAAAATTTGTTACTGCAGGAACTGAGCGGTTGCTATTAGTGACCATGGCTGTCATGGTCAAGGTCATGGGCTTCAGAGCCGGACTGTCTGCTTTCAAAGCCTTGTTGTATGGTTTTTCTAGCTGTGTGACCTTGGGCAGGTTGTTTGACCTGTCTGGGTCTCACGTTTCTCACCTCTCAAACTGGACAAGAAGAGTCTCTAACAGATAAAGTTGTGATCAGGACTAAACGCGGATTCTGTGCATGTGAGATGCCTGGTAGTAAGTTTGAGGTCCAGTCGCTCCAGGTAGGCGTCCTCACAGGTAACACAGGGCAGCAGATCAGGGCCCACACTCGGGAGAAGGCTGGCCTCTGATTCAGGCTCTGCTCGTACCAGTTGGGACACAGGTCCTTGCGTGTGCCTCCGTTTCCTTATCTGGAACAGAGAGGCGGGAGTCCCAGAGTCTCAGATTGGCTGGGGGGCCAGAACTTCTAGCCGGGCAAGGGGTAGGCACTCCTGTGCAGGGCAGTGGCTGGGTGGCGGCCACCGTCCAGCCCGCAGCCCTCTGCATCCTGGGGCCATGCGTTCTTCAGTTGCCTTTAGAATAACTTCAGGCCACTGCGCTGGGGAGGCAGGAGTATCTCCAGGAGCTAAAGCAGGCCTGGGTACCTAGCGGGCGGTCAGTAGTGGCTGCATATGTGAATAACCAAAGGGACAGGCCTCAGGCCCTGCCCCGAAGAAGCTTGCAGTGCAGGCAAGGCCTGGAGCGGTGCCAGAATGTTGCAGTTGTCTTGAAAAAGAAACCAAACAAAGAGCTCCTTCCTACCAGCTGAGCCCACACCGCCTCCGCTCCCGGCCAGGACCTCGCAGCCGTGCAGGGGACTCAGGGCTGTGCCTGGCTGGCCCCACGCTCAACGCTCTAAACTAGCCGCCGACTCCTTCTTGGTTGTTTTCTCCTCATCTTTATAATGGATGCGCCCTCTACCCTCTCAGAGTAGTTCTGGGGAGCCCGAAGTGGCAGAAAGTTCTGGATCTGTGAGGTCTTTGGTGCCTGTGTGAGGGAACACTTCCCTGAGGGCCCCGGGCATCCTGCCTCGTGTCTGTCTGGGCATCAGAGCTGCAGGGCATTATTTTTGGCGAGCTTCCCTCTAAGTATATGAGGGTCAAACGCAAGGAAGAATGACATGACTACTGCCCTAGGTCCATGATCCTAACAAGATTGATTTTTCCTTTTCTCATCCGCAGGCCTGATCTTTGGTCCAGAAAGGAATTACAAAGATGCCCCTCGTGACGGCTGTGCCTGTCGGTCGTGTGGGCCTTCATTCGAGGATTTTCTGAGCCTCATGGATTTACAGTGACGTCCAGCTGCCTGGGGAATAATGACGGTGGAAGCATTCTCTGGAATTACCTGCACCCAGCACCTGTCTGGATGCTAATGGCGGTTTTAAGGATGGCCGTGGCCGAGAGCCGGGTGGATCCCTGCAGCCTGGATGCCCCTGGGGGACAGAGGACCACCGCTTCCTGTGACGGCCGAGAGCTCTGTCCTTATCTCCACATGAATGTTCGGTTGGGTCTCTGCCAGCCCCACCGGGGCCTCCCCGTGACACAGAAGGCCTCCTCCTCGTGCACACATGCTCCGCCTGTTCCGTCCGGTGTTCACCTGGGCTTTAGGTGACACTGGCCCGGCCGGCAGGAGAGAAGTCGCTGTGATGGAGCCGCTTCTCAAGGGGAGCTGGTGTTCAGTGGCTCCCTCCGCGTGTCTGTCTGGGTGCTGGGCATGGAGGGCGACAGAGGGAGATAGCAAGGAGCGTCCCAGGAGCCACTGCTGTTCCCTGTGCAGATGTCATCATGCCTGTGTCCTACCTCGCCTGATTTCCTGGTTCGTGTGCCTGTCTCCGCCCACCAGACCACAAGGGCCTCGAAGGCCGAGGCTTCTTCCTCGTGAAGTGTGTTTTGAAGACCTAGCACCCTGCCTGGCACAGAGTGTCTCTGGCTGCAGAAAGGGCACTCAGGGATGCAGACACCGAGGGTAAATAGGGACAGAAGGCACGGCTCGGTGCTTAGAGTGAGAAACACGCTGCTGAATGTTTGCCGACGCGCGTGCACCCAGGAGGCCTGGGTTTGCCTCTCTGAGCCGTCCCTGCTGTGTGGCCGGGGCCGAGGGGCTGCTGCGTGCCCTTCCCTTCTCCGCTAAGTGGAGGTGACGTGTGCTACCGTCTTTCGCCTGGGTCGTGTTGAGGATCACACAGCAGAGGCTCGCGATGACCCCCAGCACGGTGCCCGGCACACGGCAAAGGCTCAGCACATGGTAGGGTCACTGCTGGTGGGGGGAGGGCTCCTGCGGAGGCTGGACCATTGTTTGGGCCTTGACCCAGAGCCGGGTGGGCCGTGCTGGACTTCACACTGGGTACGGCAGGTTGGCGCGGACAGTTGATGGAAGGTCACGGTTGCCGGAGCCCATGGGAAGGCCCAGCGGCGAGGCGGTAGCAGGCCAGGGAGGGGAGCCTAGTGTCTGGGTGCAGGAGCGAGTGCCAGGCTGGTCATGGCAGCGAAGGCCTGTGGCGGTTCCGCAGTTGACAAGCCGACTCTCTGTGACATTGGTGACGCTGAGGGACGTGGCCTTAGCATCGGGCTGCCCACAGGAGGACAGCGGCTCAAACAGCCAGTGCCCCGAGTGCAGGCCACCTGGGCCACCTGGCACTTGGTTGGCAGGACCGCACTGGGCGGAGCCCGGGCTCGGTGTCAATGGAGCTCCCAGGTCTGCTCCTGCCCGGTGGCACTTGTCAGCCGGAAGTTCCCTGACCTCCTCCTGGAAGTCGTGGCCTCTGATTATTCCACACTGTTCTCAGCCAGCGCTCCGAGGTGTGTTGTAAGCTGCTGTTCACTCGTGCAGGCCCTTCTCCCGCCCCAGAAAGCAGTCTGTGAGGTCAGGAAACAGGTTTGCCCCACACAGCTGGCCTCTTCTTTCTTGTGTCTCGCTTGCTCACATCAGAGTGACTCTTAGTGCTTTTATTTCAGTTTTCCTGGAGAGGACAGACAGAGGAAGGGAAGCGTTCTCTTTCTGAGCATCTGTCTAACTCAGTCAGCCTGCAGCCCCACTAGGTGGGCAGTGGTGTGCCCATTGTACAGCTGAGAGTGGTGGGGTTTCGTGGGTAACTCACCTGAGGTTCTTTCTCCAAGGGGATACTGAGCAGGAAGCCAGGAGCTGCCTGCTGTTTTACACCGAATCGGGCCAATTCAGCGGAAGGGTAGAGTCTCTTTATTCCCTCGGGGTCTTTAGAAAGGTGTGTGTGTGTGTGTGTGTGTGTGTGTGTGTGTGTGTGTGTAGCACTGCCCACTGCAGAATGCTCTTGGGCTCCTCAGAACTGGGTGCCCTCTTTGTTCTCAGGTAGAGACAGACTTTCTCAGACACCCTCCTGTGTGGTCGGGTTTGCGGGCAGCCCGAGGGGGCCTGTGCCCTTGGGTGAGTGGGCATTTGCAGCCCCGTGTGATGGGTGTCGTGCCGGGAGTACCAGGGCCTAGCAGGGCAGGGGGAGAAGTCGTGCAGGGAGGGGGCTGGAGAGCGGGGAGGGCAGGGAGGCTGGGCTGGGCGTGCACAGCTGCCCTGGGGCGGGCGGGCCTCAGCTGGAAGAGGGAGTTGGGAGGACCAAGGCACAGCACTGCCCCCGGGCCTCGGGCGCCCCTTCTTGCTGTTTCCCCCGCCCTCCAGCCCTGGCACCTGGGGCCCCACTCCCCGCATGACCCACCTCTCCTTCTCTCGGTGGCTCCAAGAACAGACCCATGGTGGCGGCCTGGCTCACCGCCCGCCTCTCCCAGGAGGACCGGGATGGCTCTGCCCTAGGAGACAGCTCGGTCACGCTGGGAAATGAGACTCAGCCTGGCTCCTCCTTTCTGGATGCCGAGTCCCGGCCCCACGTGTGCAGTGTGGTGCCCTGTGGACGCCGGCCCGGAAATTACCACCGTGTATCAAAGCCACGCTGTGTGCCGGGCACGTGGGAGATACTGTTCCATTTCAACTCCGGGTGGGCCCGTGGGGTCAGCGCCGTCCGTGTGGTGTTTTACTCTCCAAGCACCTGGAGCACGGAAGGGCCAAGCAGGGCTCCCCAGGGCACAGGGCAGGAAACCGGAGCCACTGGGCCTCCCTGCTGGGAGCTGGAGACACGTTTCTGCCTTCCTCTTGTCTCCTGGTGACTGTGTGATCTCAGGCAGATTACCTCCCTTCTCTGGGCCTTCATACCCCTTACTAGTGGCGAAACGGTCCAGTTTCTCTTCTAAGCCCGGACAGTTGAGAGTGAAAGTGGGACTGTAACGCTTGCTGTGGGATGACAGGTGTAAACCAGGTTGTTTCTGGGTGTGTCTGGCCCAGTGGCCCCTGGACTTGCTTGTTAGGTGGTGAATGGTGCGACTGGTTCGCTGCTGGTCTCGTGCAGGTCCCTGTGCTGGTGCTGGTTATGCTGCTGGTGCTGCTGGTGCTGGTGCTGCTGCTGCTGCTGCTGGTGCTGGTGCTGGTGCTGGTGCTGGTCCTGGTCCTGGTGCTGGTGCTGCTGGTGCTGGTGCTGGTGCTGGTGCTGGTCCTGGTCCTGGTGCTGGTGCTGCTGGTGCTGGTGCTGGTGCTGGTCTTGGTCCTGGTGCTGGTGCTGGTGCTGCTGGTGCTGGTGCTGGTGCTGGTCCTGGTGCTGCTACTGCTGCTGGTCCTGGTCCTGGTGCTGGTGCTACTGGTGCTAGAGCTGGTGCTGATGCTGCTGGTGCTGGTGCTTGTGCTGGTCCTCGTGCTGCTGGTGCTGGTCCTGGTCCTGGTCCTGGTGCTGCTGCTGCTGGTGCTGGTACTGCTGGTGCTGCTGGTGCTGGTGCTGGTGCTGGTCCTGGTGCTGCTGGTGCTGGTCCTGGTCCTGGT